GTTCTTTTTCAATCTCGGGTACGAAGGTTGGCGTAAAGTCAGCCACGAAGTCTGCCAAGATTTGAGATTTGATGGCGGTTCGGGGTCGATACTCAATATCGTATCCACTGATTTCTATGGCCCATTTGGACAATCGACCCGAAAGCTCGGGTTTGTATAAAATATTTCGAAGAGGATAAATTGTTACAACACATATCAGATGACATTGGAAATATGGCTTTAGTTTTCTAGAGGCGCTTATTAAAGCAAGCACTAATTTTTCTAAGTGTGGATATCTAGTTTCGGCCTCGCCTAAGGTCTGACTGACATAATAAATAGGGAATTGTGTACCTTATTCTTCTCGAACCAGGACTCCACTTACCGCTATCTCCGAGACAGCTCAGTATAGGTAAAGTTGTTCGTCCACTTTCGAGGTATGAAGCAGCGGCGGGATCGATAAATACCGCTTTAGTTCCTCCCAAGGCCTGCTGACATTCCGGAGTCCATGCAAAGTTGCTCTTCTTCTTAAGTAGTGAGAAAAATCGGTGGCTCCTATCTGAGGATCTCGAAATGAATTGTCCTAGGACGGCTATTCGTCCTGTTAGCCTCTGCACGGCCTTTACATTATCCACTACCGTGATATCCTCGATAGTTTTGATTTTATCGGGGTTGATCTCGATTCCCTGATTGGACACCATGAAACCAAGAAACTTGCCCGAGCCAACCCCGAATTCACACTTTTCGGGGTTGAGCTTCATATTGTACTCCCTCAGTATATCGAAAGTTTCCTAAAATTGCTTTAAATGGTCTTCTGCTCGCAGGGGACTTAACTAACATGTCATCAATATAAACTTCCATTGATTTTCCTGTTTGTTCTTCGAACATTCGGTTTACTAGGCGTTGATAAGTTGCACCAACATTTTCTAAATCGAATGGCATTACGTTATAACAGTAGGTACCGTACTTAGTGATAAACGGGGTCGTTTCCTAATGTTCCGGGTTCATCTGTATCTGGTTGTACCCGGAGTAAGCATCGAGAAAACTGAGAGTCTCGTGGCCGGCCATGGCATCGATCATACGATCGATATTAGGCAAAGGGAAAGAGTCTTTGGGGAATACTTTATTCAGGTCTTTATAATCTATACACATTCTAAGTTCGTTTCCCTTCTTAGGGAATACCACCATGTTTGCTAACCATTCGGGGTACTTTACTTCTCGAATGGATCCTATTTTGAGAAGTTTGGTTACCTCGTCCTTGATGAAGGCATGTTTGACTTCGGAGTGGGGCCTTCTTTTTTGCTTCACCAAATTGAATTTTGGATCCAAGCTTAGTCTATGAGTGGTGATTTACGGTGGGATCCTTGTCATGTCAATATGGGACCAAGCGAAACAGTCCATGTTAGCTATAAGAAATTAAATAAGCTTTTTCCTGAGCTTGGGATTTAACCTCGTGCCCAGGTATACCTTTCGCTCGGGAAAATATTCGATTAGTGTGATTTTCTCTAGTTCTTCGATCGTTGATTTGGTAGCGTCAGAATCATCAGGGACCACGAAGGATCGAGGGATCACATAATCATCATCTTCGTCAGTCTTCTGCTTCTCTAGTTGGGTCGAGGACCACGAAGGATCGAGGGATCCCATAATCATCATCTTTGTCAGTCTTCTGCTTCTCTAGTTGGGTCGAGGTTGACGTTTGTGATTGCTATTTGGTATCCCATTTTTCCTTCGAATTTGATCCCTTTGTCGATTAGAGTGACGATATCGGAATCACTTCATCTACGGCAAACATTTCCTTTGCGGCTGGTTGCTCCTCGTAGAATGTTTTGATTCCCTCTGGTGTTGGGAATTTTAGGACCTGGTGAAGGGTCGAGGGTATTGCTCTCATGTTGTGGATCCACGGCCTCCCGAACAGGGCGTTATACCTCATGTCACCCTCGATCACATGAAACTTCATTTCTTGGATGGTCTCGGCCACGTTTACCGGCATAATTATCTCACCCTTAGTAGTTTCACAAGCCATATTGAATCTGTTTAGTACCAGGGTTGCGAGCACGACCTGGTCCTGTAGACCGAGTTGCTCTATGACCCTCGATCGAATGATGTTGGCCGAACTACATGGATCAATTAACACACGCTTAACTTGAGTTTTATTCATAAGTACAGATATTACCAATACATCATTATGGGGCTGTATGATTCCTTCTACGTCTTCGTCATTAAAGGACAAGGTTCCTTTAGGTATGTAATCCTGAGTTCGAGATCGCTTCTCTCTTATAATCGACATCTTAGTGCGTTTAAGCACTGGTACCTGGGGGACATCGATCCCTCCGATGATCATGTGGATAATGTGTTGTGGCTCTTCTTGTTCGTTTTGTCTATTGAACTCTCTATTTTTGAAATGGTTCTTGGCCCGGTCACTTAAAAACTCTTGAAGGTTCCCTTCATTGAATAACCGGGCTACCTCATCTCTCAACTGCCTGCAATCTTCCGTTATGTGGCCATGGGTGCCATTATACTTACATATTTGATTGGGATTTCTCTGGGCTGGATCGGACTACAGAGGTCGAGGCCATTTAGTATATTTGATGCGTCTGATAGCCAACACGATGGCGGATGCATCAATGTTGAAGTAATATTCTGATAACCGCGGTGCTTCCTTAGGTCTGGTATGCCTGTCGAAACCATTCTTGGTCATCAGCCCTCGATACCCTTGGCCTCGATCACTTCTCCTTCCGCCTCATACGAAGTTGCGTCCTGGTTCGCTGCCCCTACGATCTCCGTTATATGGCTGGTATCGGTCCCTGTTCGACCTCGGTTATCGGTCGATGTCCCTTTTAATAACGGACCTAGAATCTCTAATCTTCAATTGATATCGATTATGTACATCGGCCCAGGTAACAGCCGGGTACTCAATCAAGTTCTGCTTCAACTGTCGTGAAGCCATTGAGCTTCGTTCGTTTAGTCCTTGGGTGAAAGCTTGAACGGCCCAATCGTCTGTGACCGGTGGTAGATCCATTCGTTCCATTTGGAAACGAGATACGAACTCTCTTAGCATCTCGTTATCTTTTTGCCTTACCTTAAAAAGGTCTGACTTCCTGGTCTCGACCTTTATGGCTCCGGCATGTGCTTTTACAAAAGAATCTGCAAGCATGGCAAAAGAATCGATAGAGTTAGGCGGTAAATTATGATATTATATCATTGCTCCTTTTGACAGGGTTTTCCCGAATTTCTTTAATAATACATATTCGATCTCGTCATCCTCTAGATCGTTCCCTTTAATGGCACATGTGTAAGAGGTGACATGTTTGTTGGGGTTGGTCGTTCCATTATATTTAGGAATTTCGGGCATGCGGAACTTCCTAGGGATCGGTTTGGGAGATACGCTCGGGGGGAAGGGATTTGGTACGAACCTTTTGGAATCCAAACTCTTCAATACTGGTGGTGCCCCCGGGATATGATCAACCCCAGAGTTATAAGTTTTTATTTTTTTGTCGTTTGCTTCAATCCTCTTTTCTCCTGACTCTATCTGTTTTGTCAGTTCCTAGACCATCTTTATAATTTCGAGGTTAGTCTTTCATTCTTGTTCATTTGACTTTACTACAGCTGGCCCCGTTCTGTGGGTGACTTCTCGGGGTGGACCGGGCTCTGGCCTGCTTGGTGCCTTGGTTTGGCTCTGCAACTGAGCTATCGCTACCTGTTGAGCTTGCAACATTTCAAAAATCATACGCAGGTTGATCCCGTCTTCTCCAACATTCTGGTATTTTGAACTGCAGAGTCGAGTTCCACCATGAATGTTGTTTTCGGGGTCGGAATGTTGGTTCGACTCAATGGCCACATGTGAATTAACGCCAATTGGATCTACGACCCGAGTTCCAACAGGGTCAACGAGTGGCCTTTCCTCCCCGGGCGTCAGGTTGTTATTCTCATCTTGAAAGTCAGCTTCGTTGTCGATAGGTAGGGCCATTAATTGAGAGTTCGTCGTTATTAACCTGAAATCAAAGATACTTCCAAGAGCAAGTGTAAAATAGTGTGTTTTACAGATATTCATACCAAATAACCACTATTATTCTTAGCCCCACGGTGGACGCCAAACTGTTTACCCGAAAAACGAATAGAGTTGAATTTATACGTAGTTCTAAGGATACGTGATATAAATTGATACAAATCAGGAAAAATATGTAAATGAATATCGAAATTAGTTATAAAATAAATGAATGCAAACTGAATGAACTAGTTAGCTTAAGCGTTCAAGTTTTATCACCTCCAAATTGAGTGAAGAACGATTGGTAGAAAAAATAATATGACTAAATATCAAAAGCCAAAGAAGATAATATTTGCTCTCTTTTTTGTATATCTTAGAATGAATCCCTAATGATAACAACTCTTCATATAGTGAGGGAATCCTATTTTGGATATAATTAAAAATACATAATGGAGATTCCGTGATAGATTAATTAATTAGCTTTTCCTTGATTCGAGCCGTGATTTCCGCCGAGATTCTCTCCCCAATTGCGGCTATAACGGCTTTTTTGTTTCTTGGCTCGCTCTTAATCTTGGCCGGTCTCTGGGTCTCGAGCTCGATCTTGACTCGATTTCGATCTTGGCCGGTCTCGGTATTGATCGGTCTCTTGGTCTCGAGCTCGATCTTGACTCGATCTCGATCTTGATCAGTCTCGATCTTGATCGGTCTCTGGGGCTCGAGCTCGAAGACCTAACATCGCATCATGGCTCGATATTACAATGATGAACCTTGGACCATCATATCCCAATCTCGATTAGTCATAAGAAGGGCAGACTCGGTTTTGACCGTATACGATGCTGAAACATAGTACCTTATAAGTATTTACTTATTTTCTAATATTACGAAAAATAAGGTTATTTTCATATAGAATATGTACTTTTATTCACTTGTAGTTTGACTTAGGGACCAAGCCATTAATTACTTGGAGACAAAGTCATTCTTGTGTAAATATATACTTTGTATTGTTTCAATAATAGATACACCAATAATATTAATCTTTCCATCAAAATCCTAGCCGTAGTTGCTTAGCTGCCAGTTCAATCTCCAAAGCAATGGCGGACGTTGAATGTGCTGATGTTGGGGCCGGCGGCCAGCCAAAGAAGAGAACGTTTAAGAAGTTCAGCTACAGAGGAGTGGATCAGGATACTCTTCTTAACCTGTCTACTAATGAGCTCGTTAAACTTTTCCCTGCTCGTCCTCGCCGAAGGTTCGAGAGGGGTTTGAAGAGGAAGCCTATGGCTTTGATCAAGAAGCTGCGCAAGGCGAAACTTGAGGCTCAAGCAAGTGAGAAACCAGAGGTTGTGAGAACACATTTGAGGAACATGATTATTGTACCAGAGATGATTGGAAGCGTTATTGGAATCTATAATGGAAAAACGTTCAATCAAATTGAGGTCAAGCCTGAAATGATTGGACATTATTTAGCTGAGTTTTCAATCTCATACAAGCCTGTTAAGCACGGTAGGCCCGGTATTGGTGCTACTCACTCTTCTAGGTTCATTCCATTGAAGTGATATGATTCTGGCCGATCGAGCCTCTCTTTATGTTTTCTAGTAAAGTAATATCAGTACTACTTTGTTTTACTGCAATTTTGATGAGAACAATTAATGTATGCTGAACGGTAGTTAGTTTGAGATTTGCAGAACAATGGATTAGTTTATTTTCGGTAATTTCTTGCACTATTTGTTGGTAACTTTCAGCAAAACCGCAGACTCTCAAAAAATGAAAAAATGCAGGAAAAGAAACAATTACGCTTCGTGGTTTCATCAATAGCAAAGGCTAGAAAATTCAAGAGATCATAAGAAAAAAAAAAAAGCAGCCCGATGCACAATATATGCATCCCACATGTCCGAGGAAGGGCCGCATCCCAAAATGTGTGATATAGATAACCTATCATAATCCTAATACAAGCATTAGTGGTTGCTTCTACTGCTTATACAGGTCACACGAACATAATTTTACCATTATATTGTTCAAGGGCTCCCCTTGAAAAGATCATAGGAACACTTTAAAAATTATAAAAAGATTTATTACACAGAAAGATTAGGGAAAAGAAATAATGGAAATTAAACTCATACCTGCCATGTAGAAATTCTTAATTTTTACTAGTTTTGATGGTCATAAGAACATTACTGGAACTGAAAATTGGCATTATTTTGTTCCGATCAGCTATAAATTAAGGCAATGATACATATCTCCTCCCTCTACAAAATACAAATTGCAAAATGATATATCTCCTCCCTTTACAAAATACAAATTAAAAATTATTCAATGTTGACTGCAAATATCATCTGAACTTTATGAGAGCCATCCGACCACGTTATAATCCCAAAATTGTAACCCTTTGATGCTTTCTTACCATCAAATGAGATTTCAAAAGAAGCTTTCTTTATTCCTTTCACAAAGACAATCTTTTTCGGAGAAACCCTAACAACCAAACCAGGTGGAGCAATGGTTGAAGAAGTATACGTGGCATTTCGATCTGAACCAACATTCGTCGCAACTCTTTTCACTTTCACAACCCCCTGATTTTGCTTAAGTTTTTCTATAGAGATTGAAGGGTAATTTATGTTTGATATGAGTTCCTTTTTACTAGTACTAGCATTTCTTGGGCAATCGAAATTCTTATAATTCTTTGATGCTACTAATCTAAGTTGTTTTTCTTTGTACCCGTAATAACATAGGAAGTTGTAGTAGTCAGTCATGGTCGTTTCAAATACTAACCCTGGATCTAGAGCTTTAATTGGGCTTAATTCCCCAGCACCTATTTCATGTGGATTTGAATAAAGACCTGACGTGTTTGTCAAGTGCTTCCTCAAATTGTTGGATACTGTTGCTGTTGAGAGGAAAAAGAAAATTCCATTATCAGCAAAATTTGAAGTAGAAAAGTAGTGCTTAGATGAAAGGAAATGAAACAACATATTGCAGCAAAAGAAAATAGTGAAACGGTAAACAGGAGGTCACTCGTTCAACCCGTGTCATAAGACCCAATGTAATCTGGCCTTCCCTGAATCACGCGCATAGCGAGAACTTAGTGCACAAAGCTGCTTTCTTTTTATCAATTTGTAAATGATACTAAATATTTAATAGCCAAAATATGTGATATACCTGTTGTCATGATTGCAGATTTGATCATTGAGAAGCTCCATGTACGGTGTATTGATTTAATGAAGGACATAGCTCCAGTAACATGTGGACAGGCCATAGATGTTCCAGATGTGATGCCAAATAAGGATGTTGATTTTTTTTCTGGTAAAAGATTACTACTCACTTCATCAACCTTTGGAATCATTGCCGATAATATGCCAACACCAGGAGCACTTATATCAGGCTGCAGACAAAATTTTAAAGGTCATATTATTGTGTAGTAAACTCATAGTTTATTACTCCTTTCTTTTCAAATTGAAATATAATTGTTTTAGTATAAGCCAATAAGTAATTTACTTTCACCAGCTTGTAGTAAAATCTTCATAGTTTGAGTTGAACATAATTAAGAATATATACATATAATAGCTTTGGAAATTAATATACGGTCAAAAACCTCTCTATAGTTTAGTATAAGTTGATAAGTAATTTACCTCCGCCAGCCTGTAGTAAAATCTTCATAGTTTAAGTTGAACATAATTAAGAATATATACATATACAGTCAGACCTCTCTATAACAATATCCCTATATAACAACACTTCACTATAAAAGCCAAGCTTTACCTGAACCAATTTTCATTTTATGTTATAATATATGTTCTCTATAACAACACTTCGCTATAACATCCAAAAATATTCGGAACAAACGAGGCTGTTATAGAGAAGTTTGACTGTAATAGCTTTGAAAATTAATGTACAGTCAAACCTCTCTATAACAGCATCGTTTGTTCCGATATTTTTTTGGTTGTTATAATGAATGTGTTGTTATAAAGAACAAATATTATAACATAGCATAATCATCGGTTCCGAGGAAAACTCGACTTTTATATTGAATGGCTATTATATAGGGATGTTGTTATAGAGAAGTCTAGAAGAGTGTTTAGAACCTTAAGAATATTTTCGGTTAGTGTTGCGGGTCCGCGTGAAGAAAAATCTGCGACTACTGGAGCTGGCTTAAACCTTCGAATCTCATTTGCCGGAAATATAGTTGCCAATGGGTTCCTGTAATCATAAATCATTCAACAGTTTGATGTAAACACTGAGTGCGAATAAATTTTTATCATAATATTTTGTAATAATGATAAAGCATGATAATCTTTTGTAAAGAAATAATAGTAAGTCATATTTGAAAGAGAAAAGAGGTATAAATTCTTACTGGGAGGAATTAATATATTGAAGAATTTGAGCCCCAGGCAACTTTCCAACTTCAGCAAAGGGGAAGTTGCCTGAATCAAATGGTGAACGTTTCTCTGCCTCGTCAATTAAAATCAGACCCTTTGCATTGGCATCTTGCACAACCAATTTCTTGATTTCTCTTGATATTGTCCAGTCATCATTCATGCAAACAATTATTTTCCCGGCAACTCTTTTAGCATCCAATGACCCTGGCATACAATTCCTGCTTGCATTTTTGCAGAAAGGAACATACAAAATTTAAGAGCAAGCACTTATCAAATGGAAAACAAAAATTTTAAGAAGCTAACTCTTGTCCTCGTAGTTTTGACCTTCAAGTATATATAAATATGCCATTTAGATTGAAAGGGGCTATTAGAGATTCTAAATAAGATGAAATTATGCAACTGATTGAATGCGTATGATCAATTATTTGCTTATTTCATGAAAGAAAGCAAGAATGAAAATAATAATAAAAAGAAAAATACATAGCTAGAAAATTACCTGGCTTGAGAAGTTAACGAGGGGTGGAAAGGAATGTTTTCACCGAAAGCAAGGGGATAAGTTCTGGAGCGAGAGCGACCAGTAGGATTGTAACTTATTCCTGATCCCTATTTGAATAACCAAAGATGTAATATAATAAAAACTATAAGAGTGTGACATTAAGGTTTGGATGTTAAAAAGTATTTAAATATAGAGAGGTATTATTCGTATTAAAACATATAAAANAATATAATAAAAACTATTAGAGTGTGACATTAAGGTTTGGATGTTAAAAAGTATTTAAATATAGAGAGGTATTATTCGTTTTAAAACATATAAAAATAAGAGTCACATATAGAATGAGTCATTTGGAGTAGACCATCCAAAGGTGTGGCTGGATTCGAGTACTAGGAATGGAGAAACTCCTAAAAGAAAGTATTTCTCCCTTTAATTTGCCTTAGAATTAGTTGGATCAACGGATCCTCGATACTGAATGAGTAAACCAAAACATTAAGGCAAAAAACATATCGAGTAATGATCACCAAGGAATGTGGTGGGATGGATGAGATCTCTCCGCCCTTAACTAGAAGTCTCGAATTCAAAGTCTTTGAAACTCCTACTAAGAAACATTTCCCCCTAAAATTTTTCCTATGTGGTGCGAATCCAGATATTAAATGCTTCTCAAACACCAGAAAGTTTAACAGATGGAGTAATAAGGATGTTTACCTTCAAAGAGACATTGTTTCCCAGAACAATAGTGGACTGAAATTTTCTATCAATAGTAGAAGCAGCAACAGTGAAAATCCAGGGAGCAGAGTTGGTAACAGTGTAAGGATCAGGTCCTTCATTCCCAGCAGAACAAACAACCACAACTCCTCTTTCAGCAGCATGAAAAGCCCCAATGGCAATAGGATCATCTTTAAAGTCAGTTTGAAACACAAAACTTCTCCCAATGGAAATGGAAATAATGTCAACTCCATCTTTAATTGCATCATCAATAGCTTTGAGTATTGCAGAGCCTTGACAATTTCCTTCTGAACATGCTTTGTAAGTTGCAATCCTAGCAGAAGGTAACCCTCCCCTAGCTGTGCCATTTGCTAGGCCATAGTAATTGGCATTAGGGACAATTGCACCTGCTGCTATTGAAGCTGTGTTTGTTCCATGCCCTACTTTGTCCCTTGGTGTTCCATTTGGTTTTGATGGTATTGTAGTGCTAATGTTAGGTAATTTTGTGAAGGTGGACTCTTGATCTTCAATATTGTAAAACCTTGCTCCTATCAACTTCCTACAATATATAGATTTTGAGATAGAATTTAATTTTCAGGAGAATATGTGACGTTAGGTCAGGGATTCGACAATATTATTTAGGACGCATCACATTTTCAAATGCTGAGATATTTGGATTTGATTCAGATGAGAATTTTGACTGATGAGATTACTGATACTATTTTTTCGAGTAAGTCATAATATTGAGCTTGGTGAAAAGTAAAAATGGCATTTTATTCCAAGTCAAGATTGTCTATATAACCTCTTGGCAATGTCTTGAACATTAAGCAGGCGTTTCGACATAAAAGTTATAATTTTTGAAAAAAAGTAGTATTTTGAGTCAAGTTGAAAAATAGTATTTGAAATTTAAAATTATGTTTGGACATGTATTTTTCTTGAAAAAAATATTGCAGTTTTGTGAGTGAAAAAAAATTCCGAAAATTTGAAAAAAACTCATTTTCGAAAAATCTCTAAGAACTTACAAAATTTCGCGTTTTAGAAAAAAAAAATTCAAAAGAAAAGAAAAAAAAAAATTATGGACAAACGGGTCCGGAGTAACTAAAATAAAAAATAAAGAAAAAGTGATGACCTATTGCAGTTTGACTTGTAGAAGTCAAATCCTTCCATGCAGACTCCTTTCCATCTTGATGGTACTTTACCAATATGTTGGTCATCAAAACTAGGTGACTCGGGCCATATGCCTAAAAATAAAGAGTAATTATGACAATGTACATAAAAGCGAAAAAAAAGGGGAAAGTCCAAGTTTTACTCCCTCCATTAAATATATGCAACAATTTGCTTAATGCATAAATAAATCAAAGTGGCTTTTTTTAATTCAAAAAAGTAAAAAAAAAAATTATTTATTAGTAAAAAGGACCTGTGTCAATAACTCCAATAATAACATCAAAAGATGAACCATGCTTGTAGTGATAGCCAGAGGATCTGGAATAATAAGAAGATTCAAGACCCAAAAAATCCCAGGAGCGTGTTGTGTGAAGTTGAAGAACGGGATCTGGAAAAACTGATACAACCTCCTCATGACCTGCTTTTCCAATTAAAATAAAGTTAATACCTTAATTTGTGATAATCTAACAAAGATTAAATCAACATAATTTTTAATTACTTTGGGAGTGAACTGTGAGGGGAAGAGGAGGGGAAAGATCTTGTGAGAGTCGAACAATGCACCAATGATGCACGTTATATGGTTTTACAAGTACTAAATTACCAATAAATTTCCGAAGTTAATATAATACTCTAGCGTAACAAAATCATAGCGAAAATAGTATGATTGTATAAGAAATCAATTAAATATAATATACATTTGTTAATATATTTTTTCCTACTTTGATGACAAATGGCTTAATGTTCATGTATATAGGTTTTAATTAAGTTTATTAAGTATGCTAAAATATTAGTTAATTAACTCTAAATAAAAAGCGATTTCTTATATCTTCTACTTAAACTACAAAATATGAATTCAGATCTTAGGGAACATACAAATTAAAAATTTAAAGAACAAAGTAAAACACCTAGAATATTTTTTCAACTTTTTACACTATAAGCAATTAAAAAGTAATAAGAAAAGAATAAAGAAAGAATCTTACCTGATAATAGGATGGCTTCGTCCTCTGTAAGCAAGGAACAAAAGCCCCTATAAGCATGATGATAGGAATGCCTCACTGAGATTCTCTCACTTTCTTCACTGTTCGAAAAAGTTAAAAAAAAAATATTATTTTTAGTTTCTCATATATAAAAGAAAATAATTTCCAGTATATACTTTTATTATTGAGTGGAAGATACATGCGCAGAAACTCGTATAAATTTTTTCTTTGGGAAAGAAATAATGCTTTCGTCTTCCTTTTTTTTTTCTATTTTTGAAACAAATAAGATTATCATTAATATTGAAATATTGATGAATATTACAATCATCATCAAGGAATTAAACGTATGGGATAATAACATCTTAAAATGTATCTTTTTCCTCCTTTGCTTTACCTTTTCTCATTTACAATTTTGATAGATTTTAACTCATGGGTGTCTCATGCATGGTCGAGCTTTTTTTATCTTATTAAGGTTAAAAGGGGAAAAAAACTGGGATCACAGAAAATTAATCTTTCATATCTTTATAATCAGGGGCGGCTCAATGGTAAAGCCGCTCAAGCAACTTGAGGCCCCACATCTAGGGGGCCCCAAAATTTTCTGATACTGTATTAAATAGTTGTATCTATATTTGATGAATTTTTTAAAAAATATTTAGTATATAAAAAAAAGTATATTTTTCATAAATAAGGGAATTATGAGACCAATAGAGATAATTTGGGAATAAGAATAGTTACTTACGTGTGAATATATGTCTTGCCTCCTTTATATATTATCATTATTATCATATGGCCCACGTTACTTTTATTACTTTCTCTTTAAACTGGTTTTTACTTAATCTTTTATATTCCTTTCCAAACTTATAAGTCTACTGTCTCATAAAATATTCTGTCAAATACGATAGTAGAAAGCAATTCTTTTTTTGTCAAGCTTTCCCGGAATTGCACTAAAAATATTGAAACAGCAAAAGTACAAGTTATCCATGACTATTTGTTAAACCAGGTTCAATTGTTCTATACTTTTCTTATTACTTTGCATCTAATTATTTTTTTTTATATCTTTTATTTGTAAGTATATGTATTAGCTTTTTAAATTTATTAGAATTTTAATATGTCAACAAGAAAATATGAATCCTCATATTAAAAATACCAAAAAGGAGAGAAGAATTGAAACTTTAATACAACCCCAAAAAATAGGAAGAATTTATGGTAGATAAACAAATCACTAATATAATTGAGGTAGAAGAGAATGAAATCCAAGAAGAAGAAGTTGGTAAGAGTTTAACAAAGATCTTTTAGAAAATTAGGAAATCCTAAAAGAATTGAATAATAATCCTAGAAAGTAGAAATATATATAATCCTAGTTAAGAAATCGATTATAAATAAATTATTAAAAATTTTACATCTCAAAAAGCTAGAAAAATTAACTTCAAAATAAAATTTTATTAAATGAGTTTTTAAATATGAAAAAACTTAGAGCCCCTCGTTGAAGTTTGGCTTTAGGCCCCGGATACCGTTGAGCTGCCCCTGTTTATAATATCCAACGGAAAATTTCTATTTTTAGTTCCTTTAATTTATGTATCATCAGATTGTACCGGGATCAAGCTGCTATTTAGCATCATATAATACTATTGAGATACATAGTATTATGGATGCTTAACTATTTTTATTTGAAAATTACTATTGAAACTGGGTGCTCAAGTAATATATATATA